GATGTTTTCTGATTTAAATGATTTTTTAAATACAACCCTTTCAGAGTTGAAGTGGTGAATAATTGTAATCTAGTGAATAGTGGTTTCACAGTATTTGATTGCATTTTTTCTTTTCATATGTAGAAACGCGGCTTATTGATCAGCAAACCACGGTTTTAAACACTCTTTCTGCAACACAGAAGTTATTTCTTGGCTTTTTTTTCTTTTACTGTACCTCCATCTGTGTGGCTGTTTCCCTCCTCTACATGTTTTCTCTTCTTTGTCTGGTTGTAGACATTAGTCACGCCGTTTGGGCACACAGAGGCAGGTAAGAGTCGTGGAGGAGGAGGGCTGAGCAAAGATCATTATCGGCAAATTTACTTTGCGCGTGAAATCCATGCACATCAGCCGTATGCTACATTCAGCAATAGAAAAAAAAAAAAAACCAGGAGTTTATTATTAGATTTTCTTTCATCAGTTAATAGAAGTGGCCAAATCACCACCTGCTGCCAGTTATTGAGAAGGCTGCTCCAACTAGTTTGCCCTTTGTGCTACACTTGTGCACAATTTGAGCGTTGCTGCATCGAAGTTTCTCCTACGAAACAGTTTACTGTCAGGCACGTTACGTGGTTATGTGTTCATGCTATTTGAACCAATACGTGGGTATTTGGAAAAACTCATCATGAAAATCAGAGATGTAAAGTAACTAAGTACAAATACTTTGTTACTGTACTTAAGTAGAAGTTTTGGTTATTTGTACTTTACTTGAGTAATTATTTTTCAGCCTACTTTTTACTTCAACTCCTTACATTTTTACACAATTATCTGTACTTTCTACTCCTTACATTTTTAAAAGGGTAAGAAGTAGAAAGTATATAGTATATATAGAACGTATTTACAGTATTTATATGAGAAGTATAGATATTTACCATTCTGACACTGTATGAGTTTGTACACAATCCATCACAGCTGCACACCTTTAAAATATATATTTTTGGAGAAGTTACCACCTAATAAATGTCATTTTGGAAAATCTAACTGCTCACTTTTACTCAATACTTTTACTTTTAATAAGTAAATTTCATGTCAGAAGTTTCCTTTTGATACTTAAGTACAAAATAAATCAGATACTTTAAGACATTTACTCAAGTATTAATTTTAGAGGAGACTTTAAAAGTAATTTTATGAAAAAGATACTTGTACTTTTACTCAGGTATCACTTTAAGGTACTTTATAAAACACGGATGAAAAAAAAAACATTTATCAGAATGAAACGGTATACCGCCCTGCTCTGAACCCTGATAAATTATAGAATTTAGACTATTTTTAAGCCCACACTCCTGCTTATTTATTTATTTATTTATTTATTTATTTATTTATTTATTTATTTATTTATTTATTTATTTATTTTTTGTTTGTTTGTTTGTTTGTTTATTTGCATTCAGTAGATTTGAAGAAGGTCACCGGTTCAAATCCCGGTCCGGGGACTTTTCTGGGTAGAGTTTACATGTTCTCTCCGTGCATGCGTGGGTTCTCTCCGGGTACTCCGGCTTCCTCCCACAGACCAAAAACATGACTGTTAGGTTAATTGATAACTCTAAATTATCTCTAGGTGTGAGTGAGAGAGTGAATGGTTGTTTGTCTCGTTTGTCTCTATGTGTGGCCCTGTGATGGACTTGCGACCTGTCCAGGGTGTACCCCGCCCCTCGCACTGTGACTGCTGGATATGGGCACCAGTGACCCACGCAACCCTGAAAAGGAAGAAGCGTGTACAGAAAATGGATGGATGGATAGATTTGAATAAATAAAATAATGCTCCTTTTAAAATATTTTTGAAATAATGAATTTAACTGCGTGTAAAGACTCCCAGCCCTATTAAAAAGCATTGTGTTCTGCACTAGAGAAGCAGAGAAAATGAGTGAAAGAGGTTTCATTTCTTTCCAGCAGTGGAACACAAACAGTCTGTTTTTGTCTGTAATGGTGTGAACCACTAGACGCTTGAAGCCGTTCTGTTGGGCAACACATACACAAACACACTTGTTCTGAAGAAAGCCTCATCTCGTATCTCCCACTGTTTCTACAAACTGTGCTGCTCACAGTTCTGTCTCTCCTGTAAAAACTGCATTAGGCTGTAAAGCTTTTTCCCCCCTCTTTCTGCTCTGTGTGGTGAGTTTTTTGCAGGAGTGGCACAAACATATATTGTAGTTTTCACAAAAATCTTTGGATAAAACGGATAAAACAAATCAGATCACACGTAAAAAACTGAGCGCGCCACTGATGCGTCTGCTCTGATAGTATATAAAGATTCTTCCAGCTACAACACGACAGCTATAAAGACAAATATAAACAGAAAGCTGCGTTGCCAGAGGGTTCTCATGTGCTGTGAGTCAAATGAGCCATTTGAAACTGGAGGCTTCAAACGTGACACAGTCGACATCGCTCTGATGCTGCACGGACGTATGCAGTTTTTTTCCCGAGGGGCTTATATAATTTGAACAAACCACAGACAGCATGCTGGTGAGCATGTACAGTTAACATATCTGACAACAGCGTCACACCAGCTTTTGGTKTATGTGTGTTTAAGTAAAAAGGGCACAGGAGAAAACATCACCGTTAATGGGATTGGGATTGGCATTACCTTTAATCATCCTCTCTCCTCGTTGCCTTTTGGTTCAAATTCCCTCTTCTTTATTTGTCTCCACAACATCATCGTAATCACTTGTTATTTTTTTTATTCAGGTTGTATAATAAACCCTGCTTTTCCTTCTTACTTGATTTTATGTTTCCCAGTGTACACACATGTGATGTTTTACCCTCTCAAACCTCCCCCCTTCAAATGAATCAAAGGAAAACATTAAGGCTGTGTGCTGTAGGCTGGACAGAAGAGTTCCTGTAGTCATTTCTGTTTTCTATCTCAGTGTTTTCAGCCTGTTCACCACACTTACATAACACACCATCACAGCAACAGACAGAAACATGAGCAACCCATAAGTTGGGTCAGAGACAGCCATCTTTATCTCAAATTTAATGTTTTGTGTGAGAATTTCTTTTCTTTTTGCTGATTAAAATACAAAAAAAGAAAGTCTTTATATATTCTGTATATTTGCTGCTTTTGTTTTTAAATTCTAGACACCAAACAAAGCGTAGTCCTGTTTTACCACTTTTGATTGAAGAGAGAGAGAGAGAGAGAGAGAGAGAGAGAGAGAGAGAGAGAGAGAGAG